CTGCCTCTGATCGACTCTCAACTCAGATAACTCAAGCTGACTTCTGTGGTACCTCCAAATGCCTGCAGTCTTGGCTGTTTCCTAGTTGAAACTGTGTAGGAAGTTGTATAAGTTGTGTTGCCTGGCCTTTTCTTGGCTTTGTGTCTCCCGGGGCCAACAAGCACTAAGTCTTCATGCATTTATAACTCAGGAAGAGCTTGTCCTTCTTATTATAGATGATACACAGGAGATGAAATATGGTGATAACATAATAAATTTAAGATAACTTACGTCCAAAGTCAATCCAGCAGCGGACCCTTCAGCCAACATGCAACACTGTACCACCACTTCATATTGTCTCCAAGTCAGAGCTAGCATGCGAGGGACCGGAATATACCGCAAACAAAAGATTGTTCTTGAATTACCGCCACATGAAAAGTTCATTTTCAAAACAATACTGTATATACTGTGTATATTCCTGCCATCACGTGAAAACTCTCCAGTTCCATTTTTAGTGCGTTTAACGTTCTGAATTCAGTTTAAAGCCAAATTCCCACTCACTACTACTACCACTACTCACATACTGTTTGTACATTATCAAACTGTGATTTTCAATATATTGAAGTAGTCGTTGTGAACAGTTGTTATTAGCTTTTCTGATTAACCATTCCCTAAACCTGTCTGCATCCCAGTTTGTGGTATCCGAGAGTGCATTTCAATGGTAAGACCTAAATTAATGATGGCTTTGTTCCATTTGTGTATGTTAGTAAGCCATGTCAGTGAGTCAACATAAACAATTCCAGGGCCCCGTATCAGACACATGTGAAAGGAATGCAGCTTCAATTAACGATATCATTTACACAGACGCTGAAAACAAACAGTTTTCTACCAAAGAAAACTGCCCCTATGAAAACAGTTTACAACATGTTTTGTGGATTATCCAGAGTAACCAGACCCGTTTCCAGAAAGGCAAACTGCTGTTGACTGTTAAGGACTAACAAAATTCTATTCACCTTCATTGTGTTGGGGCGGAGGCAGAAATTCAAGAGGCAGATATCTGAAAACCTGTACAAATCTAAACCCAAACTTTCTGCATGGCTAGATACAGAAATTATTATTATTATTATTATTATTATTATTATTATTATTATTATTATTATTATTATTATTATATATTATTATTATTATTATTTGGAACCATGGACCCTTAAGGTGAAGTTTTCCTGTAGAAAATACAATGCATTTAATGGTACTTTAGGGCTCGTGAAAGTTCTATAACTCAGGAAGCCCATAAAACCTTTTGGCTCAACTCAAAACTGCATAGTGGTCAAGCTAAAAACAAGGTTTACCTTTAAAAAGCTTGCTTGAGACACAAAGTTCTAGTCCAAAACAGATGCATTTTACAAGAAACTTTCTGATCTTTTAATGTCTCTAAAAAACAAAGGGTGCGCTATGTAAGAATGATTTAATTTCACTGAAAGGATAAGGTTGGCTTTATTTCATATTGTTATTCTCAACTAATCACACACCATTAAATCCTTAAAAAGGGTTCACAAATATATAGTTTCAGTAATATCCTAAAACAGCTGGAAGTTATTTTTTTCCCAAATAGACTAATGATAGTGCATTGACTATTTTCAGCAGCGGATTAAGACACATTTAGGCTCTAGTGAGTATTTCTGGCAGCAGGAAAGTGTGTGTGGGATTGACTGAAAATAAACTACAGTTGTCATTGTAATGAAGGAGCATGTCACCCAGTAAAATAGTGTGACTCATTGATGTGCTTATATTATTTTTTTGGGCAAGAGCTCTATGGCACAGGGGAATATGCTACATCAGGCTGTGGCTGCACAGGCAATCCTTGTTAATAGGATCAATTAATTGTTGGTTTTGGTGTTTTCATGGGATTTGTTGACAAGAAAAAAAAGAGTATTACAACCTCATCCTACTACTAAGAAGAAGAGGGAGAGTTTGCTTTTGTTTTTTCTGTCAATATTTTAAAATGAGAAGCTGTCAGTCACATCCCTGCTGGTTTCCCCTGCCTGCCAGAGGGATCAAACTGTCTGGTCACAAGCCCTGTTGTATAAGCTTATGTCATCACTGCTGTTCAGTACACAAGCTGCTGAGCTGCTGTATAATAGATGATTCTAGAAAGAGAGCCTCAGTGAGTGAGCCAGCGTCAGAGAAACTTTTATATATTTGCATGACAAAGGTGTTTTAATCTGCAATATGGTTTATTTAGTGTGATCTGATCATCAATTTCCCCCACAGGGATCCCCTTCTTATAGTAATTTATTTCACCATTAACAGCACCTTGCATACAGAGTTTTATTATTTTATTTATGTATTTAAAATACAATCTGAGTACAGAATATTTGACACCCAAAGACTGATATTTTGGGAGAAATAAACATCCATAGCTCTGAAACAATGTTTATTCAGCAGTCAATATAGAATGTTAGATAAAACATTTTTGGCACAGTTGCTTAATGATAATAAGCTGTCCTGTTTCTGTGTGGTAATCTAAATAAATATGCAAAACCATAATTTACTTCCCAATAAATACAATATAAACTACAATAAAGATGCACCGCATCCACGCCACCCACTGCACCTCCTCAGGAAAAAACAAACAAAAAACATAATTTATTGTACTTCAGGCAAACAGTTGCAATGGGTTCAAACCAAATAAAGAATGTCAAAGGTGAGAAAGATGCTTCATAATTCATTTCAACAGCTTGTTTCCCCCTAAAACTCTACCAGGCAATACAACAAGGAGGCATTTGATGGGCCAATAAAAGGCTGTGCTGTGGGCTTTGGATCATAGTAAGTTACAGGGTTTTATGGATGGGTGCAAACACATTTTCAGATTCCTACTTCATAGTTAGTTTTCTGTCAGTGAGAAGAAAACGTACCTAATCACTAAAAGCATTTTACTCTTTCACACTTCAGTTTAGCTGAAACCTCTAAGTGTAAACGTTCACAAATGACATCCAGAGATGATATTAAAGAGGTTATATCACCTGGAACTTGAGACGTGTACAGACGAGAGATGTTTATGAGTCTAAGTTTGTGAATTCATCAAGTGTGTTGAATTGGTCTGTTTTGGCAATTCCTTGAGGAAAATCATTCCAGACGATTATGGGTCATTACAATACTGGGTTATTTGGGGAAAGCATAAAAAAAGACTTAAAAATTATAATTTCTCTGTGTGTATGAGATACATTTTCATGTTGTTCTATTACTAAAACCAGAGCGTACTTGTGTGAAACACGACAATAATTAAATAATTGGGTGTCAAACCTGGATCTATAGAAAGGGATTTTCTTCCATTGTACAATTTCAATCAATAACACATGTTCTTTAACCTGTGTAATAACACTGCAATCAGTAACAGTAATGCACACAAGCAAAGAGAAACAGGTTACAATGTCACATGACCTGTGATAACGACAACTTAACACACCTTTAAGTCTATATAATTTCTGGAGACAGCTGAATACTAGACATCATTTTAGGTCAATGGTTCAAACTGTCCGGTGCAGAACTTAGTAAACATCAGTGCATTACATGTATTTTTATTTTTGTTTTATTTATGGCTTTGCAATGGATTTTTGAGCACTTTTTTTGCCTGAAAGGTGATTTACTGTCACCATTATAATCATGTAAACTACTTTATTAAAGTTAACGCCCATGGATAAGAAGTGCCGCAACAGCAATAATCTACTCCACCATAGCTCATCTATCAATGTAGGGTAACATGGGGTAAGACGCCCCTCCAGTGTAATTCTAACAAAAAAAACTAAAATGTCACATTTTTTTTTCTCAACATATCTTCTAGCTGCCGCTAGTCTCACTCAACTAATTATTTCCTCTGTTTCATCACAATTTTTTAAGTTATTTGATAAAGCCATTCCGACATAAGTTGATCTAATTTTTTTGTCAATTGTGTTAAATTTTTATATATATGTATATTTACAATAAGGGGAGTCTTAAGATAAGATATGTAATTGTTTAGAGATAAAGATTTTTGTTAAAGTAGTAAAATGCTAGATTAGTATGTTTGGGGTAAGATGTCCCCCCTAAGACACCTTGCTCCTTTATGCTTGATCGTTTGTAAGTTAGATGTTATTTAGACACTGGATCGACCCTTTAGCCAACCAGCAACTTCACTATCAGAATGTCTGAGGTAAAATTCTGAGGTTATAAGCTAACAAATGCTCACATTGCTAGCTAGCTGGCAAGCACGTATTTTACTTCAGACTTTCTGCTAATGGAGTTCCTAGCAACCTCACTATTTAAAAGTCTGAGAAATAAATTATTGGAAAGCTAATAACATAAGGCAAGAAAAGGTTTATTTCTAACACATAGGTATGTAATCCCCTTGCTTTTAACCAGCTGCTTGTAGTTTATTTTATCTCTAATTTGCACCTATTAAAGTGATTTCATCTCATAAATGGGGCATCTTACCCCAGTGGAAAATGCCTTTTCCACTTATATTACATTTGATTAAATACAAATAGAAAATAGACATTGAGCTTAGTGGGGGCGTCTTACCCTAGTAGCTGGGGAAGATAGTTGGGCGATGTCTACAAAATTTCAGGAGGATGTCTACATTGAATCGGGATGGATGAGGTTGGCGGTTGTTTTATGTGCATGTGTTCACTCGCACAGACTTCACTCGGCTAAAGACCTGGTAGCGTTACAAGTCGCGGTGGATATTTTACAAGCGTGGACCACAGACCAGGTAAAGCAGCACTGAACAAACAGGGTGAAGATGTTGGTTTCGGCTGTTTGATAGGCTGCGTCATTAACAAGCCCTGCTTTCACACATGGTGGTATAATGTAAAAAATTTTCATTTTTTTTTGCTGGCGAGTAGCGGGGTTTTCCAATCACAATGCCTGCTCAACGTTGTGATGTCTGTCAACCATCGCGATGGACGATGGCATCGTCTTTGGGCCCAATCCTAATGGGAAAATGCCATTCTGCTAAAACTTACATTTGATTAAATTCAAATTAATCTGTCAACTGTATGTATTTATTTCACTTTATACCATAGCCATCTCCAAGATACAAAAAAACTATAAAATATTATTTAATGTGTCAGCAAATAGACATTGAGCTTAAGGGGGGCGTCTAACCCCAAACTACCCTACAGCTAGGCTACTCAAATGTAATATCACAAACATAATGTTGCTACATTGTTGTTACACCACAGTTTACAGTGTTACTACACAGATAGAAAAGATAATAAAAATGTTTTGGTATGAACAGTCATTTTTCTGTGTCTCCTAACATGGAATCCACACAAACGCAGCCCTTGCTTTCCACGTGATTCGGTTCCAATTTCTATTGACAGACTCCAAACAAAAAAGAAAAGTCAAGTCTGCATGTCACAAAAAGGCCGCTGTGGAGCAGCCATACACATAATCCCATCCTCTACTCATCTCCTTGAGCTTGTATTCCACAGTTTGTCTTTTAATAGCATCCACGTTCAACTGTTGCAACAGAAGCTGAGAGCAGCAAGAAGAAGTGATAAAGTCCATGTCTCTGGGTCATACGCACCCACAGTTCTTCGCCGACACATTCTGTATCGTGTGGTAGCGGTTCTTGTTGTCCAGGAAGGAAAAGTCCTTTTCGAAGGCGGTCGGTCGGCAGCAGGGCCTATAGCTGACCTTGTCCTTGCGTTCCTTCTTCTTGAAGACCACCCGCATCATGTGCTCCGTGGCGATGTCGTAGTTTTGCCGGTGGGCCGTGCATTTGCCGCTGCAGTAGTGCAGCTTCACCGTCTCGTCGCTCTCAAAGCCGAGACCCAGTTCACTCACAGTCAGCTCCAGCTCCCTCATGGAGCAAGACTTAGGCCTCCGGGCTCTTTTAGTCCTTCGGGCCAGCTTCTCATCCAGCCGCCGGCTCTTCCTTCTCTTCCTGTCCAGCAAAGTCCCGACCACATGCTGAAGCTCGCCCTCCGTGAAGCTCTGGAACATCATGGAAACTAACAAAGGAGATAAGTCAAGCGTTATAGGATGGTAGATGAAGGATTATCTGTTTGTTGTCTAGTACTTCTGAATGGAATTCTCAATAATCAGATATGTAAAGAGGGCAGATGGCTCACAGAGATAGCTTGCTGTAGCTGGCAGGATAATGAAAGCTTATTTTTTCTGACATCCTACAAACTAGTCTTATCACAGGGGGGTGCCTCTCAATGGTGATGGTTGCGATGAGTTCCCCTCCCTATACTGTCAACTAGAGTATAAAGTTAAGCCACTTTATAAATGTAATGATTCATTATTATTATTATTATCACCATTAGTATCACAGAAAGTGTGAATCCCTTGTAGCCCATTTAAGTTGAGAAATGCCTCTCAGTGAGGCCGTGTGGAGCCAAAGGAAAGTGGGTATATCGTCCTCTCCTGGGGGTTATACAGGTTCTAGGGAGAGCCAGTGAACTATGAGGTGCAAATTGACTGCAGGTTATTCTCTATAAACAACAGTGTCAGAGTCAGGTTTCCCATGTCACCTTATCTCAGAAGGAAGACAATAACAGTTTATCTTACACTCCGAGAGGAGAGAGTTCATCTCGTCTGCTGAGCGGGTTCTCCGATGAACACCATCCATCTGCCGGGACAACAGTGTTGGCTCTGCTGATGCTGATGCTGATGCTGATGCTGATGGCGGTGAGGTCTTTGATGTTGATCCTAATGATGAAGACGGTCTTGATGAAGACGACGAAATGCACGGATGTTTTGTTTTCTGTTTGAACTGTCCGATAGTGGCCATGTTTTTAACGAGGAGGATGGACAGAGCTGCACCACAGAGCATGAAGGCAAAAGTAGCACCTTTCCATAACTTCATCTTAGAACGTGAGGGAGCATTGAAACTCTGTTGAGAGAGGCAAAGCGGACAAACGTCAGACGTGTTCCAAACCTAGTAAGGCATTTTTTAACATTAAATCACAGAGAACAATGCAAAAATGATCTTTGGTGCCGTCACATTTCTTTGACCTTCCCCCTAAATCCACTTCTCTCTGCAGGGCTTTTATTGCACCACCAGTTTACTTTTTTTCTGATTCTGCTGTCAGCTCGTTTTCACTCTAACTGGGTTCATGATCCGCGAACTTGACATCACTTGCTGACACAGAATGCAGTGTATGTTTAATCGCTGCTGCCTGAAGAGGAAAAACATAACTGCAATTTATTATTTGAACTGAAAGCAGGTTTAAGGAGTTCTGCAACCACTTGCACATTGAAACCTCTTAGAAGTTTGTGTATAATATTCAAAAATACCTGATGTGGATGAGAATAAAAGCGCCATCTCTTCATTTCTGAAGAAAAAGCTTCTCAAAACATCCTTTTAAAGAGTCCCCTCTTTAATCCATTCCTTCCTTTCTTTTCTAACCACACCTATTTGCAGTGCTATAGGCAGAGGCCTCATTGAACATGTGTGTTTGTACATCCCTTTATCTTATACCACCCCTCCATTTCAATAGGCACTGCACCACAGAAGTCACAAAACTCAATTTGGAGGAATTATAAGCTACCCTATGTTTTCTTTTTCCATATTGTCATGCCACAGGTATTTAAGAGTTTTTACAAGCTCACTTCTTTGTATTTTTCATATCATGTCACCAGTGAGCAAAACATCTCCCCAGAGCCGGAAACAGTATACTACGGCATTGACTAACAGCAAATCCAGACTGGCCTTACAAAGTGTTTTGCCAGACTGGATTCTGTAGTGTATGTATACAGGCTGCTGGAGTATTAACAATGGGACAAAATCACATCAGTCACATATCCTTGTCAAGTTTAGTGTAGAAACAAAAATGTGAAATGGATAACTTTTGGAAGATTGCACTTTCAACATGTGGGTTACTCCTACAGATCACATTATACACAAACATTTATGAAAAATATTATATGAAAAAAATGCGAGGACCATTTTGGCGTTCTGGTGGAATGTTTGGAGTGAGTGAAACAAAAAAGAACTATAGGCAAATTAGGCCAGTACTCCATTGTGTTTGAGGGTTTTGGACACCGCAGAGGGAAAACACAAAGAAGCTGCACACATGAATTGCAGTGGAATAAACAGCGCATAAACAGGTATAACCAGTCAGTCAAATCTTGACTCAACACTCATAATTCCATATGGGGTTGACATGGTAAGCAGTCTCTGCACAATGAAGGGGTAGAACGGTATTCATTTGAAAGTCAAACATTTCAGCTAACAACCTCATTTGACACAGCCCATGTAAATCAAATGTGGAGGTGTGGCTACTGCAGAATGTTACCCGATGCCCGCCTATATGTCTGACTCTCTCCGGTTTTCACAGTTACATTTAAGCGCCAGACATGATAGATAGAAACCTCAATGGAAAGTCTCATTTTGTTTCTGTTGGTTCAACACCAACTGCTAACACCAGAAATCTTTCTGCTCCTGCTCTAAATATGATAAATATTCAATTTAAAAAGGTTTGTTATGATATATGGCAAAGGATGAGCTCATTGTTTTCTTATGCTATTAATAGGTCAGTTTGGGACAATTACTCAGCCTTGGAGTTAGCTGCTTCACACGGCCGTGATACATCAATGACTTTGGCCTGTATGCTCTGTGGCTCATCTTGATAAAACAATTAGCTTGTAAAAACAGACGAGTCCTCCGATGTCTCAGTCGCTGACACTGGACGAAGCCTGATCATCAAACACTGATCTCATGTCCCCGAAGACACTTTGATTGTCATAATTGCTCCACTCAGAAACACATTAGTCCCATCTGCAGTAGATTGGCGCCAATAAAAGTGCCAAGGAGCATTCGGCAGCTTGTTCAGATGGTCATGGATGATTAATCAACACAGACATTTAATATCTACCACTGGCCCCTGCTGTCATGGACATAAATATACAGATATTGATAGAGGGAAGGGGCACCAGTGTTTTCTTAGGAGAGCAACGGAAAGACATGAATGACTAGTCCACTTCCTGAAAGGACAAATGCTGCTGTTTTCCAGCAAACAGAAGAGCAACAACGCAGAGGATATAGTGGAACCCCGAAGGACACTCCAGCAGAAGGAAAAGCCATTCTCAAACTGAGACATAAAAGTGCAGATGAGTCGCAAAGCCAGCTGAAACAGCTACCACACAGGCACAGTATGTCTGACCCTCATGACCCTCACAAAATATCAGTACTGATGTGCCCATGCACGCTCCTGCGTGTGGAGATAAGGCCAGCGAACATATGAGGCCCAAAACAAAGTCAGAAAATCATCTATCCACAGGGAGATCAGAGACAGTTTGCACACGTGAAAGTCCTCATTAGGATTTTGTGTTTCTAGTGACAGTGGGAGTGAATAGGAGGTATGTAAAGAAATAGTACACCTGATGTCTGCTCCGCTACATGTCACCTGAAGGGATACCAACAGAGTGAAAACAGTCCCAGAGGATCGTTAACATGTTTGAGGCAAATCATGAAAGTGAACTGCTTAGCCAAGAATTCCTGTTTGTCAAAGCCATTCCTGAGACATTATGTATTCTCGTACATTGGAGCCTGATCCTCAACCCTCAACTGAGCTCTTGTTGTGACTCAAAGATCGCATTATTTCAAATGACACAATAAAATTCATGTTTTCAAGGAATAATTGGGTCAGTGGCCGTGGCGCTGCTAAGCTGGTGGTAATGTAATTACAGCAGCATGGCCCTCGTGTCCTCCCCTCCCTCCCATGCCGGAAGGAGGCACTCAAGAGAATGCAAGAGCCTATGGAAGATGAACCAGTGATCTGTCAATATGGGGATAAGGGGGGTCTGTGGTTAACACTTTTGGATGAAGCCGGCAGACAGGGGGTGCCTTCTTGTCAGCTTGCTTGGATCTGGACCAATGTGACACGATTACAGCCAGATCACAGAAAGGAATGAATGAAGAGCTTCTTTGTGCTGGAAAAAAGCAGATACCAACTTTTATGTCTCACCACGCTGTAGAATTTTTTCCTATACGTTCCCTAAATACAGCCTGTTCTGTCTCACTCACTCTCCCTCGCTGTGACTCACACGTACCATAAACACACACGTGCAGCACTTGCGTGGTTTCACTTTGCCCCAAATCATATGACACATGGCTCGTGTTGAAATCGAGACAAAGTTCTAACCTTCAATTGTTGTCCAGACACCCACTTCACTTTCAGGGCGCACACACACACTCCCACCATCACATAACACTAGATAATCCATCTTACATAATACTGCTGCTTCTTGATATCTAGAAATGTCCACAGCTCTAACCATTGTGTATTTGCTACTGAACAACCCGAGGCCTCTGCCTACAGAACATTATTACCACCCTGTGTGCTTCAGCTCAGCTCCACCCATGTGACCGACTGTCTCTGCGCTACTGTGAACACACCCCATAAATACCTGCATTGAAAAGATACCAGAGGAGTATAAGAAACAGCGGGAAAGGCACCTACTGTGTTGTTGCAAGAAAACAACGTGCTTTAGGGAGTCCTAGAGAGGCATTGTCTTGTCTTTTCCCTCTTAAGTGAGCATCAGGAGGCTTGGGGACAGCTAGAGAGTGCTTGGGGAGGTAATAGGGACATATTCCAAAGATCAGGGCGGGATTAGCACTAATGCCTGCCGGCTTTATCTGCAGTCACGTGGGTTAACACCTGGCTGCAGTGTTGGTGGCGGAGCCTGGGCCTTGCTGTATGTCTGTGTGCGTCTGTGTTAATCCATCAGACACCTCTAACTCAGGGGTTAGGCCAGCATGAAGGGCCCACTGATAGAGCACCATCAGGCGCTTCTTCTTCGTCTTCTAAAAACCTGTCCTGCTTTCAGTCAGAATAATAAAGAAGAAAAGTGACAAGCTCAGTTAGTAAGATCTGTTGTGTTGGCACCAGGGTGGGCCAAAAGGCTGTAAAATAAAGTGGATGTTCTGAGCCAGGATTGGCTGTTCTAAATCCAGCCTTGGTTCTAATGCAACTGAAAAAGGCTTAGGTTAGACTGCGCTGTAATTTCGCTGGGCAACAGCGTCTGTTGGCTCGCGCTCTGTCACTCAGTAACCATAGGATAATTAAAACAAGCCTGTTCCTTGTTAGTGAGAAAGCTGCCGTTCGTTATTGAGGAGAAAAAAAAGGGAAAACATCTGAAGGGAATGCCAGAAAAATAGTGTTAATTTTTACACACATTCTATAAATACCAACCATGATTCCTGCATCCTTTTAATCTACTGGATGTAGGTGAGTGGTTAAAAAGATTCAACTTCATTTTGGAAGCCTTACTATCACATCCCACGGATTTATACAGATTAATCCAGTGACCTAACAGCCTAACACAAAATCTCACAACTCCAACCTGTTGCTGTAAGGGTGGCGTTAATGAGTTGTGAGGGGAAGACACACTTAGATGCACATTTGACATTCGTCCCTGTCTGCCCTTTGCTATTATGGGAAGAGTTGAGTCAAGGTATTGTTTTGACATGCATTTAAAGAGCCTTTCGTAACATACAAAGAGGTTACAAGCAACAGGAAATCGTCACTTTCCCTCATCATTTTTGCGTGACCTCAGAGCAAGATTGATGTTGTCTCAGCTACTTTCTAAAGAAGTGTCTGTGCGCTGCTATTCTGGCTGCTAATCTGTCTATGCCAGATCCTCTTTTAACACAACAGCATCGCCTCTAAACCCATGTTAAACACGTTGATGTTGCTGTTACAAAAGACTGACGGCCATCTGGCACCCACTGAATACCACTTTCAAATATGACCCACGCGAGCAAGCAGAAGCAAGCACAAACATCTGAAATATGATGACATTTTACATTTTCATAAGAATAGGCTATCTTCAAACGACTAACATATTGATCATTTGCATGCCCAATGTCTATTTTTGCTAGAATCTGGCAAAAAATATTTGTAAGACAATGAGGAATGGTGCATCAGTTCAGCTTCCCCTTCAGTTACCTCCAGTTATGAACAGCTTCGGCAGGTTATGAAAGTTGAACGGCTCAATTGACTTCAGGCTTAATCTCTATCCGGACTCTTGGGGCTCTGCTTGATACAGTATAATCTCTACATATGATATGGGCTTAGTAAGAAGGGATCATCACTTCAGTAAAATGCCCAAAGTGAGTGCCATCAAGTTTGCTCAAGTTCAACAGTTTTATCCAGCTCTTCTTAATTGCTTAAACTATTAAAGGTGCAGCTCCACAAAATATGTCAATCTCTAAAATGATGAACCCAGAGAAAAATAAACATCTGAAATCACTATTTTCTTAAATAACTTTTGGGAAAAGCAAAGCCAGAGTATTTGTAGAGCAACCACGCATTATAATGAGGCAAACCACCATGTTGGAAAAGTGACAGGAAAAGAAAATGTTCCTCCCTGACAAAATTAATTTGTCTGCATGGTGGGAGGTTATATAAATTCTGCAAAAAAAATAATTTTTAATTTTTCTTGTTACTTTTCCAATATGGTGGCAAGACCTTTGTAATCAATTGTAACCATTCTGCAAACATTTCGTGACAGGCTGCTCTGCACCATTGACATGCGGTTTCATCAAAGGCCACTTGTTGATACAGATAAGCCAACATGCGTTTTCTGCCACTCAAGCATTTGGTGAGGCATCCCTGTCAGCGGCACCAAACACCTTCCACGTAAGCTGCGGGCTTAAACTCACAAAAGAAGATGCAGTGTCCTTACCGTTCGGCCGGCTAATCCAGACTTAGCTGCGTGGCGTCGTCTTCAGCTGACCTCCACAGGCGAGTGGTGGCTGGGTTAAGTCCATCATCTTCACAGCGAGGGCAGGAATCCTGCTTGTTCCCCTGAAAATCATCACAACTCCCTGTGCCTACAAGTAGGGGAGGTGTCCTGACTTGATTTAGGTCCAGGCTGTATTATTCTTTTATCATATTGGCACTTCCATAGAACTTGTTTATGTTGTAAAGATCAAGATCAACATTCCTCTGTATGTAAGTGCGTGCTTCATGGCAGTCAGGTTGGTCCATTTAAAAAGAGTGTTTAGAAAAGCCCCATGGCATCTGGTTCACTTCAGAAAACTTCTGTCATCATGCTTTTCCCACCTCTGGTTCCCCTTTTTGCATAAACCTGAATGGGACACAGAGCAAAGCAGAGGTAAAGTGTCATAAACAGATGCCTTAACTTTAATCACATCTGTTGTGAAACAGCTTCCACTTCAGATCAGTTCATCTCCATGCAACAGCCCTGTTGAAAAGACTGCATCTCCTTACCCCTTTTCCACAAGCAGGACTTCTCTTCAGTTCCAAGGAAGGGAACTCTGCGGGTTGAGAAGATGAGTTAGGGTGAGGAGGGAGAGCGTGGTTACCGTAAGCGGAGCAGAGAGCTTCTCTGATGCCTCTGCCTGCGTGCCCCCCCCCCCACAACTGTTGCTCCTCCTCCTCCATAGTTGTGCTTGTGGGCCGAGTCGGATTACTCCTGACATGATAATCTCCCTGGCTCTAGCTCCAGGAGCACTAAAGGATGCTTTGGCCTGAGCAAGGGCTTACATTTACCTTCTGCCGCAAGAGAATCTGCCATCTTAAGTGGGCATTTGGTAATATCCTCAATTGGGCAGATCAGTGCAGTCAGAAGGGTCTGCTGAAGCAAGTATCTTCCAATCTTTTAGAGGGAATTAAGAAAGTTCACAATTGGTTTAAATGGTGCTAAGACAACACTAACCCCAGTTAAATGGAATTATCACAGCAGAGGTATTTCATGATGATTCAATCTACAGTTGGCTTGAGATAAAACCACCTGTGTTGTTGTTGAGAATCTCACGTTCATGTCTCCTCCAATACAAACCAGTATTTTAGCCCTTGAGCCTAGAACGGCAAATGAGGAGCAGATGGTTGTGCTTTTGGAAGGTATCAGGCACTCCAGACTGCAATCTAAATAAATACCCCATCCATGGAGGAAATGCGTCAGGTGTGTGGGGTCAGTCATGTATAAACAAAGGCCAACTAGTTTGTTGACGAGTGAAGCGAGGCACAAAAGGGAGGCAAAGATGGGGGAGATACACAGACTTACAGGTGCTGTTTGGGAGCATAAACCTGTCAAATAAATCTACAGGTACAATGTTGATCTAAACAGAATTGATGGTTTCAGAATTGTCTGCTGCCTTAGATGTTGAAATAAAGCAGCAATCTCTGTGCTGGAGTGACGACGTCAGCGTAACAACAGGAAACAAATTATTTGCTAACAAATATCTCATTCTAACACCATGAGTCAGTCTTGATATCCTCTGGCCAAATGATACACAAATCACGCTTTGCAAAGTTCCACCAGTGAGACGGAGATGTGGCCAAGTGCTAACTTCCTAGGACTTAAAATTCCTTCAGTGTTGACTGAGAGAAAAAAGGGCAAAACCAAAGGAATCTTTACCCAAGCTTGGTCTCATACCAAACATGTGTATTGATGGATATTCTAAGGTCGTTATCTCGGTGACCTGAAGTGTAGATTTCATGTAAAGTTTGAAGTGAGGCCAACACAAACTCTTGTTTTCACTTCAGCTTCAACCCTTCAGCGCTGATCTGAAGGATAACACCGTGCCACAAATCAGAGACAAAGACTCGTGCTCTTTCTCACACTGAGGATATTTTGGTGGCGGTCAACAGGTGCAAAATTATCCAGATCCCCTAACCAAAAAAGCCAAGAAAACATGAGATTATAGCAACTAAAATGTTTGACATACACCTCAATTATTGGCCAGAGGAGCCTATGTAAATACATAATGACTGCAAGTTAGCAGGAGATATCGTGCTTTTCTACCCTTGAAAAGGAACTATCAGCACAGAAACATTTCCTGACATTGAGCAGGAACATTTCTACTCTATACATATTGTTCACAGATGTGTAAAGTTTTCACAGACCAGCCTTCACTGCAATAAAAGCCCAACAGCTGCTAATTGCTAAATCAAGTCAGAGACAATAAGAGTGAAACACTTGATCCGTATACAATGCAATGTCTCACTCAGAGGCTAAGGTTACATTAGTCATGAAGACAGTCTGACATTCAGCATATACAAGAGAAAAAAAAATAACAAAGTATGTTTCCAATTTGAAAATGATAGAATCCTATACACATCGGATTGAATCTTTTCCATTGGGTGTGGATGAGTGAAGAAACACATTTTGTTTAGTTTTGGGCAAGATTTTAAGGAAGCCCTCAATCAGTAACACTATAAACACACCATTCCAGTCGAGGTGTCATTAGAAAGGCTGGAAATAAAGCACAAATGTTGCTACTACGCTCGTCTTGCACAAGATGTGGTTTGATGATTGGACAAGTAGCTTTCAGCCAAATGTCATCTAAGTGAGTGGAAAACTACTTTTTGGAGAACCAAAATCTAAACAGGGCATTTGTGAAAAAGATGCAGTGGGACAATGAGGGCCTTTTTTTCTGAGAATTTCATGTTGAAAGACAACACCTTTTTCTCAGAGAAAGTTGTAACAAGGTAAATCCATCCTGACCCAAGAACAAATATACACTGCAATTTGCAGTTGTGACCAGATGAGCTGAGGCCCCAGGGAGACCACTGGTTTTGAAAAAGGACGTGCGGATTTTGAGACAGCTACTTCAGCACTTAAATACCTCAGTTTGTGTAACAATTTGTTCCTCCAGCTAATATGTGTTGTAGTCTATTTACATACATTGCAGTGTATTTACTTCCTACGCAACTACAGCTTGACAAGTAGGAGGAAGCCAGTGTTTAAAATAACAGCTATGAACACAGTTAAATGCTGCCCCCATCTGTCAGTGGTTCACAACTACATGTAACCCAGAACAAACACTCAACAATAGAGATAGCAAAACTTGAATAGTTTTTGTTGTTCAATACAAAAACAAATTACTTTATTCGCTTCATCAGCCTTTAAATGTTTTCAGTGTGTTGTTGCTCGACAAATCTGCCACTGTTACTGAGCACAGGCAGTAATACTACATCCAAGGGAGAGTTTGATTTCTTCCTGCTGCAGCAGCTTCTGCAGCTCTGCCCTGAAAGCCTCTGGTGCCGTCAGAGCTGAAGGGCTGACGAAGCACGCTTTGCATCAAGCAGGACATGTTCAGGTGCCCCGGCACCTTGGTTTTTTTTGCACTGGCTGCAAATTTGCGCCTCAGCACCCAGGGGCTCTGAAATTTATCTTTATCATAGTCTCCAGAGCACCAGCTCATCTTACCGTACCTCTGATTCCTCTGATTCAAACCAGAGAAGGAATGACCATAAGAGCAGGTGGAGATCTGCTCATAGGTTTTTTGCATGGAGTTGCGCAAGGACTCTTGGGGCTGAGATGCATCAGGAATCTTGTCAGAAACTTTCACTCGCAAAGAGGGTTCCTCCTGGACTGAATCTGCTGAGGTGTGAAGTGGATTTTCCTGAGAAGGTGTGTCTTCAGGTGTGTCCTCGTTCTCCTCTGATGGTTCGTCCTTGGTGACGTGGTGCATTGACTGAAAGCCCAAAGGTACCACACACATGCCCTTGCCGTTAGACTTCTCCTGCTCTGCTTTCAGGACATTATAGGCTTTACGAACCGCCTCCAAGTGGTCAAACTTCACCACTGCACACAAATGTTGGCCAAGCTCTTTGTGACGCTTGGCATAGCACTGTAGCTCCTTGGGAAGCTCTTTGCCAGGGGGCAGGATCCACAGTGAAGCAATGCTGCCGTGAGCGCTGAACTTTCGAAGGATCCTCTCTGAGAGCAAAGGGGGCTCCAGGTCTCCGTTTTTCTCCAAAAAAATGTTTGAGGCAAGGAGGAACTTGCTGGTGGGGGAACACAGAAGCCATTTGGGAAGCGGCTCTATCCGCCTCACTTTGTTGCATTCATCATTCAATTCCAGAAGTTCTGAACTCTCTGCTCCTATCCGAGTCATGTGCCAGTCTGTGGTCAGGACCTTTATCTGTGACAAATAGTGGCAACATTAGCTTTCTTTGCATTTTACCGGATTGTTTTTATTCAAACTGGTGGAATGTAAACACCACAGAAAGCACACAAAATCTTGCTGCCCCCCCCTACCTTTTTCAAACAAGTGAGGAGCTTGAGACTGACGTAGCCCTGCTTGTTCTTCTGCACATGTTTTAGCAGGAAGCCGTCCTCTGCCAGGTGGCTGTTTGAGAACAAATCCTCCAACTGGTCTTTAATCCTCAAGCAGAGCAACTCACCTATCCGGCCTTCTTCATCTTGGACATATTGTGCATCATCTCTACAACAACACATGACTCAGCATCATCATATACTGCAATGCAGATTAGTCAACCATATGTTTTCTAATTTCCTTACCCAATCGGATTACTCATGGTATCTCCTGAGGATAGTGATAAGTAAAGACAGGTATTAAGGAAAAGCAGCAGGCTAGATAGACTTAATACTACTGAACGAGGAAACAATGCACCCGGACACAGTGATGTCAGTTGGTTTTGTGGGATCCAAAACAAAATTTTGTAAAATGCTACAAGCAGAATTCCACATTACACAACACCCCCTCTACCAATAATAATAACATGCTCTCAGAACAAAGTTACTCCTCAATACATATTTTTTTTAAAAAGCAACAACTGGCATGTGAACAAACCATTAGCTGTCATTAACAGAATGCTATCGCTGCTAAAAGTAAGGCCCACTCTGCAATGTATCAGCAAAAAGAGCAACATCATTAAAGGTGTGAATTCCTGCAACGTGGTTCAGAGGTAAGTGCACAATGAAATCAAAATAATTATCATACTGTTGAACTCCCAAATACACAATTTTCAGCAGCAGTAAAGTATAAAACAGCAACAGTAATTATGCTTTAAATCCAGCTTTATATTCTGTTTGAGCTTTTGCCTCGCTCGAAATGAGTCATCCTCTTTAGCATGTTAGTGCTACTGCTACCCTGCATCCCCACCCCTTTCCTGCATTTTACCCAACATCCCCTCTATGTTAATTACACATAGGATAAATATACAAACCCAAACCTTTGCGGGCTTTTCTAAAGAGACTTTTTCCCCCTGTTGCTGTTATGTGACATCAACAGGCAATGATTTAACAATGTGCTGTATGGGCTGCTGGTGACTTAGAAAGTTCCTGAGGGAACTGGAAATGATAAACCAAGCTATGGGCCCATATGGATATATACTGTACATACACACATTTAGAACGAGCACAGTTGCTGATGGAGTCAAAAAACTACATTTAAAGCAAAAAAACTAATTAAATATCTACGACTAAATAAGCAACAATGTTAAAATGAGTTAAAACCTTTAGTTATAATATGATAAGAGTTTAAGACTCAAAAACCAAACAAATAGTTCATCAGAACTGTGTGGGTGCGGTTTGATCTGATTTGACTGACAGTTGCATCTGGCCTTAAACTCGCCCTCATTCACTTAATCACTATA